GCACGCATGTAAACAGTAGCCACAAGGGCGCGCATGTAAACAGTAGCCACTAGGACCGGCATATACACAGGTACCCACAAGGGCGCGCATATAAACAGGTACCCACAAGGGCGCGCATAAAAACAGGTCCCCACAAGGGCGCGCATATACACAGGTCCCCACAAGGGCGCGCATATACACAGGTCCCCACAAGGGCGCGCATATGCACAGGTCCCCACAAGGGCGCGCATATACACAGGTCCCCACAAGGGCGCGCATATACACAGGTACCCACAAGGGCGCGCATATACACAGGTCCCCACAAGGACAGGCATATACACAGGTCCCCACAAGGACGCGCATATACACAGGTCTACACAAGGACGCGCATATACACAGGTTCACACAAGGACGCGCATGTACACAGTGGTCACAAGGGCGCGCGGTCACAAGTACTCTTAAGGAGTAACACGCCCACATTTATGAAGACGAATTATAGGCATAAACGCACTCTTGCACGCACACTCGCTCACATACACACACACACACACACACACACACACACACACACACACACACACACACACACTCACACACACACGCACACATACATACACACACATACATACACACTCATACATACACTCGTACACACACATACACATACACACACAAGCACACACACCCTATATCCCAATCCCCTACCTCCCTCCTCCCACCTCTCTCAAATATTTAGAAGCCAATTCACAGGCATTACTTGATTTTCTTCTTTTTTTTTTACTTTGTTCTTTGACCAATCTATAACCTTGGTCCTTGTGAATTCATAAAAGGAATATGTAGTATGTTCTATATTTTATCTTTCGTATCTCTTCCCTAGGATGTTCACACGAGTTTTACATTCTGGGATTGTACAGAGGCTGGAATGACGTCACCCGTCTAATGACTTTCATTCCACTCGGGGTCACGATGAGTGAACAAGATATGAGGGTGAGTGGATCTTCTTGTTCGAGTACTTCACTATCATCAAGTGCTTTTGGTGCTTTTGATGCAGCAGCAGCAGCAGCAGCAGCAGCAGCAGCAGTAGCAGCTGCAGTTGCTGTGCTTCTGCTGCTGCTGTCGTTGTTGTTGCTGTTGTTGTCGTTGTTGTTGTTATTGTTAGTGTTGTTGTTGTATTTGTCTTAGGGGGGGGGGGGGTGTTGATATATTGTTGTTGTTCTTGTTATTTTTATCTTTGCTCTAGTTGTTCATATATCCTTATAGATGTTCACATTGTTGTCATATTAGGTTTTCCAAAACATAAAAGAAGCCCATGGCCACCTACATTCTTTCTTTTTCCTTGTTACTTGGCCTCTTTTCCTGTGTTCTGTTCCGCGTCCCTTTATCAACCACTGACCTCACTTTAAGACACTTGTTTAAGGGGGAACGCTGGACTTTGCACCTTGTAAAAAAGGTGGAGAAGGAACAGTGCGACAAAGTGGTGGGGGTTAGAAATGGAAACACGAAGTCCAAGTTCAGCTTTCTCCCACAGCAAGGTGAGATTACGACTGGCTGTCTATCTAACCGGGTGACTAAAGAGGTCGAGGAACGTACTGTTAGATAGTGCTAAATGTTGACTTAAATGAGTCCAGTTCAAATTTGTACTGTTGAGGTGACCCAACACTTCTCGAGTCCCTACCTAACGACATCTCTTCGCGTGAAGCTCAAAGATGATGGTATTGCTGGAAGTACCGATTATTTCCTACTAGGTTTTTCATTTAGGAAAATATTGGCTCCACTGAACACTGCACATTCCTGTTGTAATGCAATGTGTTGTATGGTGACGATTCTAGAATTTTTTATTTTAACATTGGAACTTGGGATATGAGAGAATTTAGTGGCCATGTTGCGCCCTTATGGCAACTGTGTACATGCGCGTCCTTGTGGGGAGCTCTGTGGCAACTGTGTACATGCGCGCCCTTGTGGCAACTGTGTACATGCGCGCCCTTGTGGGGAACTCTGTGGCAACTGTGTACATGCGCGCCCTTATGGCAACTGTGTACATGCGCGTCCTTGTGGGGAACTCTGTGGCAACTGTGTACATGCGCGCCCTTGTGGCAACTGTGTACATGCGCGCCCTTGTGGCAACTGTGTACATGCGCGCCCTTGTGGCAGCTGTGTACATGCGCGCCCTTGTGGCAGCTGTGTACATGCGCGCCCTTGTGGCAACTGTGTACATGCGCGCCCTTGTGCGTACTTGTTGTTTACACGCGCCGCCTTGTGAATGCGTCCAGGCATGACCTCGAACAAAAACCGCGAACCATGACACGTTTTGTAAAACTCTGTCTGGTTTAGACATTTTGTCACACATGTTCCCTGTTAAACATTTTCACTATGCCTGGGTATCACCGGACATCGACTTGTTCTCTGTAACTCAAAGATTTCTGTAGTAACACTATGTGATTTTGAGAAAACGAAACTTCACCGGCGCTTTGAATCGCTTTTCATACACCGCGCTCTAATTATTTTTTTCTTTTAATATATTATAAGTCCATTCGCAACTTTTGATGTTAAATCATTTTGCAACCAGTTGAGAAAACTGAGACGCAAATCCATTACCTGTAGAAATCAGACGAAAATTGACTAATTGGCCACGATTCCAATAGCTTTGAATAGCGCTAGAATCGTGAATGTTAAACAGTAAAATCGAATGACACTCTAGTCCTTAGTTTAAAGTTTTTCGTCGAAACGTTCTGGTACCGCACCGAGATCTATGGTGTAGTGGTTAAATGCTTCGCTGTCGCTCGCAGGAGACCTGAATTCGATTTCTGGGTGTGGAGATTTTTTTTAAATCGAATAGCCCGGCCTTTCTGCTGGGATAGTGTGTCCCTCTCAGCTCGAGTTTGCCCTGGTAGCGCAGGATCGGAACCCCGCTCCGAAACGATCTAAGTTGTGTCGTAAAAATCGCCTACATTTTAGATTATGTTTTATAAACCCTTAAAGTATATTAATTATGACAACTATGATTTATTCCTGTTGCGTCTGATGGTGTTTCTCTTTGCGTGACAACGACATGAGCACACGGTTTATTTGACCTCTGCCTGTGTGTTTGATTTGTTCTTCAAGCATTAGTATTTGGATGCCAAAATCGGTAACTGTCTGATATTTTAACTGCTGGTATGCCAGAAAGTGACAAGAATTCTGAAATTAACTGGGTTCCTATCAATGATGTACAATATTTTTAAAACTACCGATGACAGGCTACCATTTTAGGGAACAGTTTGATAAATATATCCTCGGAAACTGAAACTAAACCATTATTAGTTGGTCTGTAGAGATACCGTGTTGACATCGACTGCATGTGTGACAATGCGTGTTTCGTACAATCAAGTTGTAGCATGGTCTTATCTTTTTCAGCATAGTGTTTGTATACACGCTGTTATTGAGGACGCGAGATTATGTTGAAACAGCGGAGATCTCCCCTGAGTCTCCTTTGTTGTGCCTCAGGTGGCTTTTTGTTTTGTTTTGTTTTGTTTTTGCTTTTTGTTTGTTTCTCTATAGCAAAGTTGCGAAATTGTATCGGTTCAGCGCGCCTTACAGAATAGTAAGGTTATTTGATAGGTCGAACATCCTGGTTTAACGTTCTACTCCAGTGAGGCAGCCGAGCGGACGATTAATTGTGTAAAATACTTTTTGCAAGGACACTATGTGGGACTAAGTTGCGCCTTGAATCCCCTGTCACGAAATCTCGCGATTTCACTGTAACTTTATGATGATATTTTTTTAACAGCTGTTACTTTCGAGTTTATGTTTAGATTATGACCCAAGCAACTGACAAACAGAGTGAAAATGAACCCCTCTCTTTTCCCTCCTTTTTTTTTAAATGTGGGGCAAGGTCTCCAGCGTTTTACTAGAACCGAAGGTTTCGAACCGACTTCTGTGTAGTAACGTTGATGGGTTTTTCCGTTGCGCTCAGAAGACCTAGGTATTTTTCTTGGGATGTTGTATCCCTCTAAGCCCGTGGTGGCTTTGATAGACAGGGTCGAAGCCCGCCTTCTAGTATAATTAATCATTCAGATTTTGTCGTTTGGGGGTGGGGAGATATAGAAATTACTTACATAAATTTTAGAAAAGATTTTAAACAGGTGATACTTTAGTCTCTGACTAGTACCTGAGCGGGTACTCGTATTTTTTTCAAGTGTTTAACGGCGCTGGCAACTGCATAATTTCATATGAGCGCACGACATTTTCTGTTGGTAGGAAAATCTTAATTTTGCCCGGGTGGCTGCCGAAGCCTACTTTTATCGATTTGGGACCACCAAGGGCTGTTTAACGTGCGCAACTTACACACGGGACCTCCGAGATTTTTCGCCGTTATCTGAGAAGGCTAAGTGTTCGATCTTACCTACCATAAGATCAGGGGTGTTGCTGAAAGACAGCAGTAAGAAGGGGCCAAGGGGTAGCAGTAGAAAGGCTGCAGAAGGAGTCGGGAGCCTAGAGAAGGGGGCACAGGAGGAGAGGGGGTGGGGGCAGAAAGTGGAGATGAAAACATTGTTAGAGAGCAGGAAAGCAGATGAAGGGAGAAAACTTTGTAGAGATGAGACTTTCCGTCGCTCTTCGGATTCGAACCCGGTACCTATTGAATGAGAGGCGAACACCATAACTTCTTGACCATGAGAACCCCTGTAATCGCATTTACTTTTGCGTTTCAGTTTTCTTGTTAAAAACAAAACGTGCCCAGTACTTATTATGTTAAAATAAATTTAAGCTTTCTATTCGAAACTTGCTTGATTTAGTACGCTCCATTGGGGTTTCTACTCTCTTTGGGGTCACTATAGGGCGCTTTGACGCCATTTACAAAGACACTTCTAACTTATTAAAAGAATTGGCGGTCGGACTCGTGGTGAACATTCACCACAAGCTTTTGATGATTTTGTATTAACCTGCCTTCTGTTACATTAAATACATTTTAATGTAATAACGCCGATTTTGAGACCCTGAAATGGTCCTAGAAGTGAGATTAAGTACATTATATTTCGGGGGGG